ATTAAAAATAACAATCAGTAAAATAAATAGCAAATAGAGATTTAATTATTAATATTGCATTGTTTACCAACCGTATACAATATAATAAATATGGCAATTCTATATGGGAATGATACCGATACGGATTCTATTATTTCATTGAGAAGTATGACCCAGGAGACTGATGAAATAAAAAAATATCGTTGCTTTTAGTGGAAAACTGGCAACATGCACCCGAAGGCCAGGTGGGAGGAAGCTACGTAAGTCTCTTACCTATTTACTTTGGAGAATGGATGTTTTTATAAACCAGTGCCTGATATCAACTGATATTTATATTAAAGCTTACCATACATGCTAAAGACTAATGTCACCTTAGACGAATATATTAAACAAACAGATATGCATAATGTGCACGCTCTATGGGAATGGGAAAATGGAACTGTTCGGGTTATCGAACTCCCCTCGTCATTTCACGAGGTTTGCATTAGTACAAATTGGATGCAGTATTTGATGTTGTGTCAACCACTTCTGTAGACATTAATTTTTGTGGAGCAACAAGTGAGTGTCTTATTAGTTTTCTTTATGCTACTATGTTTGTATTACTCACTGTCTGACTAAAAACAACAAAAACACACGGAAGAGGCAAGGAGGCAGATGGATCTCTTCAACCTGTAGGAAAACCTCAAGTACCTGGAGGCGGATCTGATGGAAGGGTACGAAGGGTTTTTAACCTGTTCATTTGATGTAATAGTGTTAAATTTCTAATGTTGTGAATATACTTTTAGAATAAACCCTGGCCCGATCTTGTGACAGAGGTTGCTTTCTCTGAAACCGAGGCACATATTAAGGATAAAATAGAGAATTACTGGCTCCTTCCTAGTAGAGTTCACTATGTAATTGCTATTAAGCTAGACTATATCAGATGATTAGTTCCATCGGTGATGACAGTAAGTAATGACAAGGGGATTTATTTTCTGCGCAGTCGCCTTAGTAACTTTTATTCTTTAATAGGCTTGGCATTATTGCATAAATAATCGAACAGCTGTAGGAGCATTAAACATTGTAATGGTATGTTATGTTATTATATACTTTTTTTAGTACAGAATGAGTTTTAATGTATTTTCTATTAGTATGAATTTGGAACGATTAATCAATATTCTACCTGGGCAATACGTTTTTAATATTCAACTGGGATGGAATGACAAACAACTTCGTAATTCCCACGCCCCCCTCTACCTAATCCTATTACCCTCAATCTCTTTTCTGTTCGGTGGGCTATTTTAAATCCCTAATTACGTGTATGACTTCTCTTATATCAGAATTTAATCGTTTTATTTCGATATACTGTAACTGCATAATTTACATTTAATAAAATTTTCACCGATTTTACCTTTTACAACGAAATACACAGCTTCGCTGACAATATAGTGTAGATAGTTTTATGGAATGAGGATACAAAGTGACTATATTATTATCTAAAATATTCCGTATCAATTAATAGATTTTCGTGTAAATATATCATTGCACAAATAAAGATTTTGTATGTAAATACAGTATATAAATGATTATGAGACCACTACCCATCACGGGCTACTTCAAGACACCTTGTACCTGCGAAGAAAAAAAAAATTGATTCAAAGTTTTGAATAAATCTGCTTTCTATATAAAACTGTTGATACCCGAACATGTCGTCAGAGTAAGAATTATTGAAACAGCGAATCATTGCACTTGAGGCAGGTTATGGAAGAGAATACCAAGCTTAAGGCCAGAGTCACGAAATTGAAACATACTACAGAGGAAAACGCCGAGCTTAAGGCTAGAATCGTGAAATTTGAACAGAAGCAGTTACAAAATGATATTTCTTCCGATACCCGTCCATCCTATATCGCCAAAAGATAGGGAGGTCGATGATTTTGTGAGTTTGAAGTTAAAGAAAGGGTTGGTAACAAGATAAGAGATAGGAGCAGAGAAAAAAGATTCAGCACGAATCGGTTGGAAAACAAGCCCAAGACTTATTGCAATTTCATGAAGTGATATGGAATCACGACCCCAAGTTAATAATAATACAAAAACCGTTCCCTCAATGTCATGTGATTTTAACTGAGTCACCTTCGTTGCAAACTGAAGTGTCTGAATTAGAATAGGACGATGAAATTGATAAAAACCAAATCATTGAACAAGGTTTAATACAAGAATATAATTTCCTGCTAAAGAAAACGAAAGCTCTATCAAAATTAGCAACCCTGGTCCATTCTCTATTAATTCATTGAGGCGAATGGTTAATTCTAAACCCAATTTATAGTACCAATAGATAGTCTCAGAATCGACCTTGCTAATTTCCGATATACAATACTGTAACTTGCGTAGAAGCTCAAAGGGATAATAATTATCCGGAAAGAGTACTTCTGACGGATTGTCATCAACTTCCATTACTTCAGTTGTCACCTCATATGTAAAAGCTAACAATTTTTCTTTACGTATATCTTAAAGTTGTTTAAATTGTTCCATATTGTGATCTCTATGCTCTGGAAACCGTTCAGAGCAAACTGAAGTTGCACGACAGCCGCATCGGAACATCGCATGTGAATCTATAATTTCTCGTTTGCAAACCAAACAAGGTTCGGGTCTTTGGGGAGGGTTTAGAGAAAAGTCGGGAGCCATTATATGGCCCAAACTCGATAGAAGCAATCCCAATAGAAGCAATGGATTAATTCCTGTGACGTCATTAATGCGAAAAAGAGTCTATGATATTCTATCTATACTTCATGACACTTCGCGCGCGGCTTTACCGTGATAGGGGTCGAATTGATAAGCCGGGATACTGTATAAATAAAGCATCATATTTTTTGTGGGGTGGTATCGCCTCCGATGATGCAATGATAAATAAAAAAAGATTTTTTTATTTTCGGGTTTGTGAAACGTAGGATCAAAGAGCCATTGCTTTGCAATAAATCATTTATTAAAGTTATGTATGTAATAAGAGCCCAAGGGAGCAGCCGTGTGTGATCACGAAAATGATCATTGTTATATGATCTCGCATATCTTTACAAAAAATACAGTGTAAAACTAACTTATATAAATGTTATTTTTTTAAGTGAAAACAAATGACCCCTACTTGGTATTCGTTCATAACCTCTACTGCATCATCATTTTTTACTGCAAGCTGAAGATTGCGAATAGGCTCAAACCATTTGGCCATGGGGATAAGACTTTTCCATGAGTCTTTTTTTCTGTTACTTCTATTATTTCTGTTATAGTACGCATCGCAAATTTGTCTTGGATTTGATAACTGGTATCCATAAACAAAGTCGTTATTATCCACCACTGAACGCTGTCCACACCTCGATGCAACTACCACCTCTCTCCATAAATTCTCATCTTGAGTTAAATCTCGATACTTCATGCTTCTTAATCTATCCATGTTAACCCAATATACAACAATTCCATAAAATCCCACACTCCAACGGTTCTTAATGAAATCTATTGCGTTGTCAACCGATGGGTGCAGGTAAAAGCTTTGATTTTTTCCAAAATCGAGATGATTTCTGAAACACGTAAGATCAATTCCAGTCTCACTTATGCATTGAGCATTCTCATATTTTGTCGAGTGGAAGAAGGCCTTGTGATTATTATCCATTATATTGGCAACTTTTGCATTGCACCTTATTAAAGCATCCTCTCCGATAGAGACGATTTGTTCGAAAGATGAGGCAAACATATGCGGACCTCCTTCTCTATCATAACTGTGCCATTGATTGCGTGGAAATTGTAAGTCGTCAAAAGATCCCTCGAAACTTATCTGGTTTGTAATATCCCATCGATTGTAAACCCAATCAAGAAGCCAATGTTTCAAAAACCGTTGAGACCAAGCAGAATCATGTATGCTGCTGCGTAGTCTGTTAGAAGCCTCCTCCGTGAGACCCCACTTTACAAGCAATTTCTTATCTTCACCCGGCTCCACTCCTTCACTTCCCTCAACACCAACAAAAATGGTTGGGTCCATTTGCTCGCGTTCATCAAGAAAATCTAACATTATTTCCTCATTAGTCATGAATTCAAGACGATAATTTCCTGCCAAAAAGGAGCTAACAAGACTTGGTTGAAAACCACGATCGACGAAGTATGTAGTGATCTCGCTGAGGAGATTGACATTATTATTGGTTAAATTACTAGATAATGTTTCCTCAGGTACGGCTGACATGACCAAATCTTTCAAAGTTATTCAATATTAGTATTATGCGTAGAGACTATAGATTTTTATATAAACATACTTTTAATATCTTGGATTTTTAAGGAAAGCTTGATATGAAATTTCGTCCGGGCTTGAAATAGATAGTTGCAAATATTAGAACTAATAATATTGAACATTTATTGTTAATTACGTCACATAAATTGCGTCAATGTATTTCACATGATTTGTCTTTATAGAACAGAACTGCAACGTTCATTCATTAGAGATTTTAACGGTCAGTATACAATGTTTCATGTAATCCCTGAAATTTAGTAAACTGCTCTTTCAACGATTTCATTTCTTTGTCATGTTTCTCTACTATCCCTGCCATAATGGCTTTCAAAGCTTGTACAGTTCTGGCAAAAAAAAAAGGTACTTGTACTGTATATTTAATCATAAATAGTTAAAAATATAACTTATAAAGTATATTATTTTTAATAATCAATTGTGTCACCCTTGCTTTGTATAGCTAATTCTAATCATATATTTAATTAAATTTTGGCATATATTGACATCCATTTTTTGCCATTCTTGCATGATTATTAATAAAAAATATTTGTTATGTCATTTTTTTTCTAATAAGTATGTCTACTTCCTTTCTACCCTTATTATTATCATTATTCATATATTCTTGATTGGATTCAGATTTGATAATAATAATACTAATTAAGAACTCATAGAAGTTGTTTGTGAAAAAAAAGAGCTTAAGTTTAGCAATATGTTTCAGATTATTGTTGAAAGATTTACATATTGCTAGGCTTGTTATATATTTATTCAACAAATTTTTTTATAAAATATTACATTATTGCTTATTATTTATTTTTTAAGTAAAAACATAAAAAATTATTGTACTACTTATACAAAAAACTATTTAAATATAAATTTTATAATATTTACCCAATCTTAACTTGATTACAATTTTTTAAACTTATATTAAATCTGCATTATGTTATAAAATATTTGAAATATTATCTTATTCAAAAAAAATATCATTTTTTCAAGTACAATTTGGTTTACTTAAATCAATAAATTTTTTTGAATATTTCTATTAGTTTAAAAATTATTATTTAATTTTTTTATAACTATTGGATCAAATGCTTTTATTATATTACATAAGTTAATATAAGTGGTCTAAATATTGTTTTTGCTTAAAATTATTTATTTAAACAAATTGAAAAACATATATAAATAGAATTCTTCTTGAATATTGAATTGTTTTTTAAATTTTTTAAATTTTTACTTTTATAAAAATTTAATAATAAGATATATTTTTCTGCCAAAGTAATTATATTTTATATTAATAATATTAAAAAATTTTTAACTCCAAAACAACCAATTATTAATTAAATTTATCAATAATATAACAAGATTTGCAATCTAATTATTTTTTTAAAAAAAATTAAAAATATTACTTTTTTTTTTAGAATTATATTCTTGTAATTATTCAAATAAATTTTAATAAAGTTCAAATATTAATTAATAAACTCTTATATATTACTTAATATCCAATATACTTGTAATTTTATTAGTATAACTAATAAAGAAATTATAATTTAGCAATATTTAAAACTACTTATTTTAATTATATAAAATATAAAAAATAATCTAAAATTATAACAAACTTATAGTTATAATAATAGTATTAAAGTAATACTAAATAAATTTAAATAAGATAGTTAATATATAGTTAAATTTTATAACTTAAAGAGTAAAATAATAAAAATTTATAATTTAAATATTTTATTATTATCTAATATTTAAGAAATTTTATTATATATAATTTTTAATTAGATATAATATTTGCAGGTTTAAAATTAATTTGATTTATTATAAAAATAAATTATATAATATCAAATTAAACCCATATTTGATCTGATTTAATTTATTAAAAAACATTATTCAAAATTATATTTAAGTTATATTTAGTCAAAATTTTTTTTTTAATTAAGCAATAAAATTTTTATTTAATAAATAGACAAATATTTACATTGGAAATAAATCTATAAAAATATCAATTTTTTAAATTAGATCTAATTTTATAAAATTTTTAAAAATTAAAAAATTAAGTTAAAAAAAATAAATCAAGCAAATCATAATTTAAAAAAATAATAAATTTGATTAAAACTTTGAAAAATACTGAACTGATATTAAAATAGTATTAAAATAGTATTCATTTAAAATAAATTTAAGAATTAACCTAATATTGAAATAATATTAAAATAATATTGTTAGAAACCCTAAATTTGATATATTGTTTTTAACAAATTAAAGATATTAAAATAAGTTTAATATTGTAACAAAAAAATAAAATATTATATTAGTCACATGACTTATTGTTATAATAATAATAAGTTGGCTATAATAATTAGATAATAGAGAAAAAACAAGAGAAATTATAAAAGAGATTATATAATTTAGCTTTAATCTGTTATTGTATTGTTATTTATTATTTTATTTTCAAGTCATTATAGCAAATGTAAAGAAAGTATAAATAGTATATAAAATTTAAAAATATAAAGAAAAGTTAAGAAGAAAATGTAATCAAATTAAACATGCTTAAAATTATCTTAAGCTCACTTGTCTAATGACAGCTATACAAATATTTGCTAGAATTAGTAACAGACTTATCATTATACTGCTACAATATATAACTTTTAATAATATTATAAAATTGATTAAAGAAAAAACAACCTAGTAAAGCAATTAACTGATTAAATAGTATATATTGTAACTTTATTATAAAATAGTTATTAAATAAATTTATATTTTAAAAGAATTTATTATAATAATAAGTTATATTTTATAAATAATTGAAACAATAATTTATAAAAATTTTTATCAATTTTCAAATCTAAAACTGTATATATATTTACAGAAAACATTCTGAGAATTGGAATGATTATTACAGTATATTACAGATCAATCTAAAACAATTATCAATGTAATTATAAATTTAAATTAAACAATCTATTAAATATATCAAAAGCTTTTATCTGAAGTTGTAAAATTCTTACACTTACTCAAAAACAAATTTTACTAATAATTATTGTCCGAAGCATACCATTATACACCAAACCTGACACGTTTTGTCTGTCCGCACGCGTAATTTTTTTTTAAACAAATTTTTTACATCTATTAAGTCGATAATAATCAATAATATAATTAATCCGCTATCTATGATACAGATATACCATACATGTAACGAAAATATACATGAAATCCTACAGTTTATAAGGTCGATAACCGATAATATAGTTGGTCCAAATGAAATACAGTATTACTCGGTCGATTAAAAATGTCGATCGTTAAAAAAAAAACCTTATTGGTCACGTGATATGGCTTATTTAATTTATTTAATCCTTCGCTTTGGACACACCAACAATTTCCGCAACCTAGTATATAAAGTACTGTAATATACAAAAATGATATACTGTATGCTTAATATAAATAAGTTTGTAAAAACAAATACTTAAATAATATTGTAGTTAATAAAGACAATAAAATAGATCATTTTTATTATAAATCCAGATTATTCAAATTTAAAGTTTTTTTAAAAAGATTATTATTATTGTTTTTTTTAATTTTGATAAATCTTTTAAATATTATTTAAATTTATTGAATAGCTTTATTTATTATATGCTTAATAGAAATTTTTATTTTATTATACGAACAATTATTTTAAAATATTTAAATTATAGGTCAAATCAAATTCATGCCTCTAGCATTTGACTGGACGTCTATATTTATAAGATCACGATAATGGTTTATTTTAAACTTAAGATTTATATTACTAAAGTTATTTCATTCGTCAAGAATGTAAAAGTTGTTATTTTTTATTGAGTACAAAAATATGTAAATTTTAAAAAAATATATTCAAGAGAAAACGATATTTGCTTGACTAATTTAAAAGTACAGGTTCGGAATGCATTAACATAGATAACATTTTGCTGTCGTCGAATGCTAATGGTATATGTTTTAATTCTAATAATTCGATTTAAAAAATTTTTTATTACATTCAAATATAAATGTAATTTACCTCATAATTCTTTAAACTAATTTTATATAATTAATTACTAAACATCTTAAATTGTATTAGAATCCAGATTCTCATACATAGATGATTTTGTTATTTCAAAAGTCAAGCATTTATCGCTTCGATTTTTCATATTAGAAAACAGATACTGTATATGTTTAAAATCTAATATGTAAGAATATATTCTTTTGTTGTACCTCAACCAAGGCTTTTTGTGCTAACTCTCCAATTTGACTATTCTTCAAATTCAAACTAGTTAGAGTGGTATTTTTACTTAATGACTCGGCTAGTGCTTTTCCTGCCGATTCTCCTATTTTATTATTCCACAAATTCAAATATTTCAGGGTGGTATTCTTTCTTAGTGCCCCGGCTAGAGCTTTTCCCGCAGATTCTCCTATTTTATTACCACATAAATCCAAACTAATTAGAGTGATATTCTTACTCAATGCCTCGGCTAGGGCTTTTCCTGCTGATTCCTCTATGTTATTGCCACTTAAATCTAAATGGGTCAAGGTGGTATTCTTGCTCAGTGCCTCAGCTATTGCTTTTCCTGCCGATCCACCAATTTTATTATTCCACAAATTCAAATATGTAAGGGTTGTATTCCTTCTGAGCGCCTCAGCTAGTGCCTTTCCTACCGATTCTCCTATGTCGTTATAACTCAAATCCAAATTAGTTAGGGTAATATTCTTGCTTAGTGCTTGAGCTAGCGCCGTTCCTGCTAGTTCTTCTATATTATTCCAACCTAAGTTCAATTCTTTTAGGGTAGTATTCTTGCTTAAAGCGTCGGCTAGTGCTTTCCCCGCCGATCTTCCTATGTTATTACTTTGCAAATTTAAATTAGTTAGGGTGGTATTCTTGCCTAGCGCCTCGGCTAGTGCTTTTCCTGCCGATTCTCCTATGTTGTTACCACTTAAATCTAGACTATTTAGGGTAGTACTCTTGCTTATTGCCTCGGCTAGTGCTTCCCCAGCAGATTTTCCCATGTTATTATCACACAAATTCAAATATGTCAAGGTGGTATTCTTGCCTAGTGCTTTTGCTATTGCTTTTCCTGCCGATTCTCCTAAGTTGTTACTCTGCAAATTTAAATTAATTAGGCCAGTTTTCTTGCTAAGTACCTCAGCTAGCGTTTCTCCTGCTGATTCTCCTATCTTGTTATAACCCAAATCTAAATTGGTTATGGTGCTATTTTCGCTTAATGCTTCGGCTAGTGTTTTTCCTGCTGATTCTTTTATGTTATTCCCACCTATATTTAATTCTTTCAGGTTTTTATTTTTTCTTATTGCCTCAGCCAGCGATTTTCCTGTCGACTCTCCTATCTTATTATTCCGTAAATTCAAATGTGTCAGAGTGATATTCTTGCTAAGTGCCTCGGCTACCGCTTTTCCTGCTGAATCTCCTATGTCGTTATAACTCAAATCTAAATTAGTCAAGGTGATATTCTTGCTTAGCACCTCTGCCAGTGCTTTTCCTGCTGATTCTCCTATCTTATTATCACGCAAATTCAAATATATCAGGGTAGTATTCTTGCTTAACGCCTCGGCCAGTGCTTTTCCCGCAAATTTTCCTAGATTATTACTCTGCAAACTTAAATTAGTCATGACAGTATTCTTGCTTAGTGTCTCGGCTAGTGCTTTTCCCGCCAATTCTCCTATTTTGTTGTTGCTCAAATCTAAATTGATTAGGGTAGTATTCTTGCTTAATGCATCAGCTAGTGCTTTTCCTGCTGATTCTCCTAGTTTATTATTACCCAAATCTAAATTATTTAGGACAGTATTCTGGCTTAATGCCTCGGCTAGTGCTTTTCCTGCTAATTCTCCTATTCTATTATTCCGCAAATTTAAAATTTTTAGGGAGCTATTCTCGCTTAATGCCTCGGCTAGTGCTTTTCCTGCCAATTCTCCTATTTTATTATTACCCAAATCTAAATTAGTTAGGATGGTATTCTTGCTTAATGCCTCGGCTAGTGCTTTTCCTGTTAATTCGCCTATTTTATTATTACGCAAATTTAAAATTTTTAGGGATTTATTCTTGCTTAATGCGTCGGCTAGTGCTTTTCCTGCTGATTTTCCTATTTCATCGTTCCGCACATTCATGGGTATGGGTCCAAAATATCCTGCTTTTTCAAGTGCGTCTTCTGACGATTCTTCTATTTGGTTATCACTCAAGTCCAAATTAGTTAGGGCGATATTATTGCTTAATGCCTCGGCGAGTGCTTTTCCTGCAAATTCTCTTATATTATTCCCACTTATATCTAATTTTTTCAGGGTTTTATTATTACTTAGTGTCTCGGCCAGTGCCTTTCCTGCTGACTCTCCTAACTTATTATTCCGTAAACTCAAATTTGTTAAGGTCTCATTATCTCTTAGTGCATCGGCTAGCGCTTTTCCTGCCAATTCTTCTATTTCATTATTACTTAAATCCAAATTAGTTAGGGTTTTGTTCTTGCATAATGTCTCGGCTAGTGCTTTCCCTGCTGATTTCCCTATTTTATTTCCATGCAGGTTTAAATTGGTCAGGGTGGTATCTTTGATTAATGCCTCGGCTAATTCCTTTCCTGTCGCTTCTCCTATTCTATTACTGCTCAAATTCAATTCTGTTAGGGTGGCATTTTTTCTCAACGCCACAGTTAGTTTCTTTTCTTCCGAACCAATAATAATTTTACCCGTCAAATCCCACTTTGAACCATCTTTTCGATCTTCTTGTGTGTGTTGAGGATCATTGAGAATATCTTTCCAAAGTTCCAATGATTCTACAAAACTTCCCGCTCTAAAAGATTCTTTGGCCTCGTTGCGTAAGTCTTGAAGGGTCTTTGCGAAAACTATACTATTTCCTATATTCCCTCCTGTGGTGTCTAATATTTCGTAATTCTCTTGTGACACAGAATCTGTTTGATAATCTTGGGTTAATGGTATTTTGGGATAAGTTAAAATAGATCCCGCTTTTTTAATATTTATGTCAGGGTCTTTTAGAGTAGAAATTATTTCTTTGATATTTGGCCGTTGATCTGGATTTACTTCTTGACATCTTTTATAAAGTTCGGTAAATTTTTTAGGAGTACCTTTAATTGGATCAAGCGAGAAAAATGGGAATGGAATTTGACAAGTCGATATCTCCCATAAGATAACTCCATAACTATAAATATCCGATTTTTTGTTTCTCTTGTATCCTGGCACAAGATAGCACTGCGGCTCGATAAATCCTGGCATTCCTTTAAAAGCTGAATTGGTTATCAATGTACTTTCATCTAAACATTTTGAAAGGCCAAAGTCTGCTATCTTCATTCGACCATCGTGCACTAAAATATTCTTTGAATGCTAAATAAATAATGCAAATTTAGTTATATAAAAATCAGTATAAAGCAAACATATATTCGTGAAATAACTACCAAGTCTCGGTGAATGATGTTTTCTGAGTGCAAGCAATGTATACCCTCCGCGATATCTCGAGATATTTGTATTTTATTTTCCCAATTGAGTAAATCCTTATGAGTCTTCAAGTAATCACGAAGATTTCCTTCATTCGCATATTGCAATACAAGCACATATATTTGTCTTTCTAGGTCTATAATGAATTTATTTGAAAAATCGCGACTAAAAAAAAAAAAAAATGTTGAACGTTAAATATATACCAACCTTTCGTTACACCATAGAATTTGTTGATGTTTGGATGATGGGAAGCTTTCATGAGTAATCTTATCTGCAAAAAAAAAATTTTTTTCATCAATATGGGTTATCGTTAAAGGAAATATTTAATTTCTCTTGAAAGTAAATGATCACCTCGCGTAGGAATTCTTTTATAGATGGTTTGTCTAATTGACATACTTCTTTTTTTAGACGTTTCAACGCGACCTTTCTTTCAAAGATTCCCCATTCGGCAGATTCTATAATACCAAAACCGCCCTTTCCAATCTCTTTGACATCAGAAAATTGGTTATAGTTAAAAGAGTTAATGTATCCATCCTTTATCGCGTCCTCCAACCATTCAAAATTGTCGATTGAACCTAATTTTAGAATTATATGAATTAAATTTGTATTTAATGCTCAATATATAATTCTTCACGATTAATTATCCAATTTAACTTACTAGACATATTTGATAAGTGTAAGCGTAGAACTAAACGTTAATGACTTATAAGAACATTAATTCTAAGGTGAGATGTAAATTTAATTCGTACTGAATGTTTATATTGACTAAGTGTGATTTATTGTATCGATTGCAAAATGACCAAAATGGATGTGCATTGCGTCGTATTCCTAAGTCCGATTGACTGTACAATGCCTATGCAAAGTGACGATTTTCCTAAAGTATAAAAAAATTTTTTTTGCCAATAACCTGTTGTCAAACAGCTCCGCATAACTTAATTTATTGGGTATACACTTATCGGGAAATTTCCACGTGATCTATCATTTACGAATCTCCGTTGAAAAATTCATAAAGGGAAGGAAGCTCTTTAGTAATCAGGAATGTCATGCATAAGCGAATACCATTGAAACAATAGAGAGAGATAGCAGCAGAAATACATGGGTATTATTGGATAATAATCCAATACTGTCGTTTAACGTTATACATTCTAATAGTTATTTTTTTCTTTTCCTGTCCTTTCTTTTACAATTAATATGGTACAGTACCTGCTTACAGTATTGTACATTCAAGATTTTTTATGATTAAAGTTCTACAGTAATATGATATCCCTTGTGCATAAACCGTGTCTATTAGCTTCATATTTCAAAAATATAATCCGATAAAAATTCCTTTCAATTCATTTGTTCGATTGATTTTTTTGCGTTACTTTGTTTCATTTCTCCTTGAAGTTCTGCCATTATTGCCGATTCAAACTCAAAATTTGTTGTAAATACGCTGTATTAAACAAAAAAATTTTTGACGTAAATTATTCTTACATAAAATCATCAGTATACTGTATGTAGCCAAAATTTCTTTTAGTATGCACGCTTAAATTGATGCAGATATAATAATTTTATCCGGGATTAAGTCTCGATACTGTTTCCTTGATGATGCATACCACCAAGTTCAGAAGGGTATAGACGCAAAAAGTTTATATAATATTATTGAGGTCTGTAAGGGAGCTCAACATATTATGATCAAGAAAAACCCGATGTTATCGTCGTGGCCGGTGAGTCTGTCGCTAACCCGGGTAATTCTCGCGCTATGCACGTTAGGAAGATTTTAAGGTAGATGCTTTTACGACTTTTACTCCTGAGGTAGAATGTCTTCTCACTTATTCTTCTACTAGTAACTCCTATATTCTAGTTAAGCTTCGGTTTTATACTAGTCATTTACGTGCGTCATCTACTTCTAGACGAGACGTATTTTCATCTCACCTTTTCTCACGACACCGTGTGCACTCAAACTTTGTGAATTCTTAAATTTAGTATTTATTTTGATTTGTAAACTCTAATTTCCTACAGTATGATAATGTAATTAACGCCATATTCTAGTACTGCTTATCATTACAATTGATCTACGCAATACATTACCCCGTAGAATACTTGCCAGTCTTCCAATCAATATACACGAATAAGAAAGATATGAACCGTTAAAATACCCATGGCAAAGGGGGAGGTACCATACACTGCGACGTACGATATTTGTGTTATCTAAATTTTCTTATGATATTGTGAATAATAAATATTGTATCTCGCGTTGTTATAATAATGTCTGCAAGCTATGATAAAGTTATAATTAAGTAACGGTATCAACCTTGAATAATTCTTTATGTTGTTTTTATGTTCGTCAAAATTAAAAGCGTCTGCACTCATGCCATTGGATAAAGATACACTATTCTTAAATTTATTAATGAAATTTATAATTAATATTTTTACCGTTTTACTTTTATTGGATTATATGAGAAGGAAATGTTTAAAAATAAAGAAAAACTTATACATTTACATATGTTTAATAAAATACCTATTTAATAAATTTGTTATTTTTATTTTTTATCAAATACGATATATATATATATATATATATATTGTGTATTGTAATATAATATAAAATTTGTGTTTAACTTAATATTTTGACTATTTACAATATAAATTTATGCATCAATTATAAAACTACTTATTTAATATCTTATGATAAATTTATTGTTTGAATTTTAAATATTATAATAATCTTAAAACTTAAAATTGTTATTTTTTTTTTATAAATAAAATAAATATTTATTTAAGATAATATCAGGATTTAGATATATATTTTTTTAATAATAAAAAATTATTTTTTCTTAAGCTTTTTTAATTAAATTTTATAATTTTTATTGTAGAATTAATTTTTTTAAAAAAAAATAATTAATATAAATAATGTATATATACATGCATATATATTTGCTTCTAATCAAGCCACAAGCAAAAATTGTTTATTACTTTTTTAGAATCAAAAATATAATAATATGGCTAAACTGTTATAAGCTACAGTATAATAATCAAAAAATTTAGTAAATATATATATAATTCTTAAATTTTTTATTACAAAAACTATTATATTATTTATATAATCTAACCATTTATTAATTATTTCATTATAAAAAAGTTAATTTATTAAATTATTACTATATAATATTAATTATTGTAAACTTTTTAAATCTATTTTGATTTTTTAGATAAGATTATAAAAAATAAAAATATTGTTTCTTTCTAAAAAAAACTATATATAAAAATATTTCTCAAATCTATTTTAAAAAATTATATTTGATTTATATTTGAAACTATTATCTTAATATAATTACTATAGTTTTAAAGAATAAAACTTTTTATTTTAATTATGCTATTATACTTAAGGATCCTAACAATTTTCTTCAATTCTGTATTCGATTCTTAAGTTTATATTAGATTTAATATATAAAATATACTTCATTATTATTTTTAATAGTGTTTTGAATCTCATATGATTTCCTGTGATTTTGTTTGATTCTAATTTTCAGAATCATAATTATATTTCAACCAAATTCCATAATATTATTTATATTATACAAGTTTATACAAGTTTATACGAGCCTATAAAAATCAAAAATAAGTCTATTTTCAAAATCCTAGTACTAATAAATAAAAATTTTTTAAATAAAAATTAGTTTAATAAGAATCTTTTTTAATTTTGAAAAAAAAATTAATTTAATAAAAAAAAAATTTCAAATTATTTTTAGCAAAAGAATATTTTAATATTTTATTTTTTAACTCAATTCTATTATATTGTTATAAGGAAAAGGTAATAAATAAATAATAGAAAATTATAAAAGTAATATAATAAATATATCGGATATAAATAATATATTGAATATAATAGGTATAATAGATATAATAGTATAAAGTAAAAAATATATATAAGTGACCTAAGAATGATAAAAAAAAAAGAAAGATTAATAACAATCTAATAATAAAAATATTGTATTCTATTTTTCTACAAAACTGATCTTGTAAAAATTCTAAAATATTGTTATATTGACATAATCTATAACTCTATCAAATTTATATGTTTTTTTTTGAAAACAATTTGATTCTTAAGTAATATCATATGATATAATTCAAAGGGAAGTAATTGACTTGCTGTTTTACTATAACAATATTATATTTTACAATATAAAACATATAAAAAATATATATATTATTTATATTTCTATTATATTTAATTAATAAATTTAAAATTTCAATTAATTACTAATCAAAAATTTTAATATAACAAAAATTTTAAAATTAAATTAAAGTAAATAAAATTCTTCAAAAAACTAAAAAATTTATTAATATATATAAAAACATTATTTTAAATATATATTTAAGTAAATAAATTTTACTAGCTTATTTACTTGTTTTGATTTTTTTTTAAATATTAAATAAAACATTTCTTATGATTTTTATTAATTAAATAACATAATTAATTTTTAGATTTTAAAATATATTATTATATATATTAACTATATATATAATAAAATTATTGTATAATAATAAAATTGTAAATATTTTTTTCTAATTATAGATATCTTAAATTTTACTATATATTAAACTTTTTTAAAATAAAATACTATTTGTTAAAATTTTATAAATAATTAAATATAAAACAAATGACCTGTGGGTCTATAGTGTAGTGGTTAACACTCCACAGGTCAAATCACAAGATATCAGTTCAACCCCATGTGAGGGCAGTTGAACAGAATTAATATGGTATCTGGCACTATAACCTGTATAAGCGCTGTTTCTCATAAGAAGCTGTATCACACGCTGATCCAGCGGGCATTGAGATTGTAATTTCCAGAAAAGATGTCGTGGCGTGACGATCATCTGGTTGGTGTTACGATGATTGCTGGAAGTTGTAAGGTGTACTTTACTGAAAGTGCTTATTTTTTTGCTATTCCACCACTGAAACTTTACCAAATCGCCACAAAGCCGCCACCAA